AAGGAAAAGCTCGAAATTATCCAGGCAGGCAGGCAGGCCAGACGTGTAAAGGCTCGGACCTCGAGTGAGCAACGGCGGCAGTCACCGCTGCTGCGGTTTGGCGACGTTTCAGAGGAACGCCACAGCAGTCTGCGCGTGAAAATTCACCAATATGTAAGGCAAAGAGCACATAGCGAGCAAGGAAGGGGAGAGAAAAGAGAGAGAGAGAGAGAGAGAGGAAGGAAAGAGAGAGAGAGAGAGATGCCAAACGGCCAGCGTACGTAGGGAAATTCTCGCGCAGTACGAGAATATGTAGCAGGCAAGAGAAAGAGTTTAATATAAGCGGACGAGTGATGCATGGCTGATGAAGAAATTCTCTATGTATCGTTTCAGAGATCGCTAGGCTTATGCGAAGCGAGCACAAGAGCAGCAGACGCGCGAGGCAGTAGCACGCCCCACTGGCTCTTAAATTATTTGTTCATCCCATTGTTGGGCTGCGCGGATCGAATATGCGAAGGATATAACACGCGTAAAATAAGGAAATGGAGTCTGCTTTGCCAAAGTGAGAGAGAGAAAAGGCTCGAATTCGTGTTTGCACTGGCTACGTGTGTTTTATGAAAATACGAGCATCAACGCGTTTCACCGGCTCCGCTTATCATAACACACAAGCTTCCGTCTCTTATAGGGTCCCGCGCACTCATAACTTAGCTACGGATACGCTTACTGCACAGCGTGCGAAGCTGTCAATGCTCGATTAACTTTTGAACGTGTACGCGCGCCGCGTTTAGGAGTTTATAACGGCTGCAGCAGCGTTAGAGTATTCCTGCGTGTAAATAGTTTATTCGTCCGAATGAATTACGCGCGACGTGCAGTGCTCAAAAATGTTGCTCGTTGTTAGGAGAAAATTAGGAAAATATATGAAGCCGCAGCTTGGCCCTTCGGCTGGCAGTGGGCATGCGCGTTAATAGTCAAATGCGCGCGCGAAAGAATGAAAAAGCGACGAGTTCGAATGAGAGCGCGAGGGTGAAAAGGAGCGAAAGAAAAGATAGCAGCGCGTAGTCCAACCGCAGCTCGACGTTTTATTTTATGTATGCGGCAATATTTCACGGAACGAGCCTTGAAGCTCGCGCGCTCGAGCTAGGCCAGCAGCCGATTTACCTTGGGCTAACAATTGCGCTCGCTTTAAAGCGTGTGAGCTTTCGGCCTGCCCGGCCGAAACTGCAGGCTATTTCTAACGGCGGCTCTCGGCCTTTTAGGAGCGTCGCAGCTACCTACAAAACTGCAGAGCAATAACTAGGCACGGAGACTTTTTCTCCGAGTCGAGCAGTCGAGTCGCGTCGTTCTCTTGGCTTTTTATGCCTTCCAATTTCACGCGTCGGATAATGACCGTTTGTCTTTCAGGCACGCAAATGCGCTACAAATGTCTCTAGATAGCGAGTCGTTGTCTGCGGACGAGCGACATTCGTATACTGCCTATAGCTATCGGGGATGATTGTTGCTGCTGACGCAATCATTTCCTAAATGCGCAACGATATTTTCCCTTTTTCGAATCATTCGCTGCAAGCATCATCCTCGTTACTAGTTGACTCGCGATCAAAGATCTCATAAAAGGCCTCGGAAAATAAGTACAAACGACGCAGACAACAAGCGCTGCGGCCAAAGTTAAAGCTGAGAGCTGGCCCAAAATAATACGAATGAAATGGATAAATTTGGTAGTACAGACGAGGTCGAAGGATTATAGGGTGGTAGGCTCTCCTCGACGAGCTCGAGCTTCTTGCGCATACTATCAGGAATATATCTGTCGCTACGCGAAACCTCTGCCTTTTTCATACAAGCACATACGTATATGTGGGTAAAGTACGCTATATAGGTACACGTACATTGTGAAGGGCTGCGCGCAGAAAGAGTAGAGGAGCTGGCTTGGGCGAGCTCGGTAAGGCACGGATTCTCGGAATTAGCCGGCTGCAGGAGAGTAGCCAGGAGAGCTACTCTCTGTCTTCGGGGCAAAATGCTGTGCGCGGGAGCTGTTGCTACTTTTGCTTGTCTCGTAATTATCTTGGCTCTTTCTTGCCTTTCTGCTTCATGAGTCGCGCTCGGGTCACTACTCACCTATACACGAGTGCACACACAGCCGCGCTTGGATCGACTCTTGCTTTGCTTTTAATTTTAATTGATTGCCGGCTAACTATACATTTATGGCTTGCTCGTTTTTCTATCGTACCTTGCTTCGCCAGCGATAGCCGTCCACAACTGTACCTCTGCGAGATTCCTTATGCAGATCTTGGCTGGCCGATTTTTTTCTTCCAATAATATCTTCGGCTCTGCTTTTTAAAACAATGACATGGTATAAAAGAGCTCCCTGCTAACTATAAAGATTTGCTATAAAAAGGAGCAATTGGAAGCGCGCTTAAATCGATATCTCGAGGAACTAATTGCAAAGGGTAAATGCAGCCAGCGATTGTATTTCATTGCTTTATCTTATGCGAGCATTGCGCTTTTCAACATCAATTTTTCCTCGACAGAAATGAGAAGGAAAAATGGCCACTTACTTGGATTGCTTTGCCCGGCAAGTCTTAACGGCTTATAAGTTTGGAAAAAAAGAAAGTCCAAGTTTTTTTTCGCACCGTTGCACTGCTATAGGTCGTATTCGCGAGCAGACTTCTCGATTCAATTGTCGATCGACGCATAAACATACCAACACTGAGCCGAGCAATCTCTTCGTTGCGAGAGACCAACGTAGGGTTAGCTTATAGCTATATAGGTGTGAGTGAACCAGTGGCAGGCGCTTCGGATAATCAAGCCATCGCGAGGCGAGTCCGGTAGACTTGAAGGAAATCCGAGGCCATCGGATTTTACGAGCTACATGCTGAGGTAGAGAGAGAGAAAGAGAGAGAGCAAGAGAAAGACGAGCAGCGCGCGATGCTGATAAGATTGTCAACGACGATAGCCGACAAAAACGTCTCCTAGGTATTCTTTCAAGATTTTCTCGTACGTACGTGTGCGACTAGGTACACCGAGACGAAACGCACGTATCGAGCGCTAGACATTAAACGCAAATAGGATTGTCCTCGTTATTAGCAGTTTTGCACTTTGCAGAGTAAAAGCTCGTGGAAACGTGCACAAATTCTCATAGCTCATGCGAATGGAAAGTTAAATTACGATTGGGGATATCAACTTGATTCGGTTCCAGAGATAATACTTGCATTGAGAAATTCTTTCCAATTTGATAAATCAAGGATAATTGTCCAGTCAATGCATACCATAAAGCAATATCCATTCTAATTCGAGAATGAGCAAACTTGACGATAATAAAGAAAATTAAAACGATCGAGTGAAGGAGAAATTTTATATCACGAATCGAGGTTATTGTGTAAATAGCTCAAAGCACATGTACTTGAATATTGATTGCGCTAAATTTTTGCGAACTAGTTAAACACACAGCCAATACTGAGATCGAATTGTGACGCATCTTTGAAAAGTAATAAAGTTAAAGATACTAACACCGACTTAACGTAAAGATGTTAGCTCGAGCTTTAATTTCCCCGAGCTTGCGTCGACCTGTTACGTAATGAGCATAGTTAAGGCATGACATTCATGTGTTCATACGAGTTCATTATATTTCGAAAATTATGGCTATAAATTTCTGTTTAATGATTCGTCGACAGCTTTTTATGTAAGCTATAACCCGCTGAACCTCGACATTGTGTACATCGGTGAAAAATAAATTGAAAAATTCAGCCGAATGCCGCGTTAAAAAGCAAACTTTTCTCTCGCGTCGAAAATACAATTTCTTAATTGAGTCTCTTGAGTATACGGGGCACATTCAAAGCCGAAATAAATATTAGACAAACAAGGGCGCTGCGTATAGGTAATATTAGCGAGAAAAAAAGGTAAAGCGACAAAAAAAATAAGAAAAATTTTTTTGTTACGAGCCAAAGTTGCCGAAGTAGCATAAATTGCTTCATTTGCGCGCATGCAAATACAAACAGTGCACTCACACGCGGCCCCGTACAAACTCTGAAGTTTCGCTCTCTCTTTGGCGAGTGCGCGCATAACTTGCCAATTCTCAAAGAAATTAAATTACATCGGAGGCTTCTCGCGCACTGTCCGTTAAATTCTACTTGTGCGAGGGCAAGTTTCTGCTCTGTCTTCGTATCTCCGCATTAAAGTATAACTTCTTGCCGAGCGTGCGCAGCGAGCGAGCCTTTTATTTTTCCCGGCAGACCAAGATACAAACCAGGAGGAATAAAAGGCCACGGATGAAACGAAAAAAGAAGAAAAAGGCCCGCGGAATACAGAAGAGTCTCTCTCTCGCTCTCTCGTTCTATCTGCATTCATTTCCAAGCAACTATTAGCAGTGTACGCCGAGGGTGTATGTAGGTGCTGCTGCTGCTGCTGTTGGATGGGTATTACATATACAGTAGGCCGGCGGTAGCACCTTGTTTTCCCGAGCTCGCTGCTGCTCCATTTTATGGTTATGCAGCGAGGACACTTTTACTACTAGGCGGTGGTAACGCGGCGCGGCCAGATCGCGCGGGACGCTCGACGTTTATTGTCTTTTATACCAGCAGCGAGAGCCGAGTGTCTCCTACTCCGCAAGCTCGTTCGTTTATTTATATGCAGGCGATGCCGCGCTCGTTGTTTAATGCCAAGTGCGAAGGCGCGAAACAAATTTTCGCTATTTTATTGCCATTAGTCGGACAACGCGGGGGCATTAAAATTTGTTGGATGGCGATTATTTTTCCTCAATTGACTCTCAGCCGCTGCACTATTATTACAACTATGCGCGCGCGGACCGACCGCGTAGTTGCTAACCTACATCGCTACCAAGCCAACACTCGTATTTCTATTTTTAATTATCTCGCGCGACCCGACTAGTCCGCCGATATGCTACAATTACTATCATCAAATTGAATATTTATTAGCCAAGAAGTGCTCGAGTGCGAAATTAACGATACACGCAGCGCGCGAACGTTAATCGGCCCGTTGAAGCTCGAAAAATGGAGCTGGAGCGAACTTACCCGGTGAAGAAGGAGCTGCCGCACACCTTGCAGTCGTACTTTCTTTCTCGTTGGCGCACCAACGTTGCTGCCACCTTGTCCACGCCACACGTTTTCTCGTGATTCGTCAGAGCCGATCGTCGTGGAAATTTGCCGCTGCACTTTGGACAGGTGAACGGTCGCTCTTGAGTGTGATACGCCCTGATGTGGTCTTTCAGCGAAATCTTGGCAAATGTACCATCGCACACCGGACACTTCAATTTTTTCAGACATTTTCTATCGGAACTGGACTCCTGTTCCACGAAGCCTTCGTGCAAAGCTTTATGATACAAGCGATCCACTTTGGACTCCGAAGTGAACGGGCATTTGTCGCAATTCCAGAACTTGCCGGCTCGAGTTTTGGTCGCGTCGTCGGTCGTTCTATCGACGACCTCGGCCAGTTTGTCGCTCGAGCATTTAGCGTCTCGCGTGTGTCGCGCGAGTTCTTGCGACAGAGCGAATATTTGACCGCACTTGGCGCATCTGTAAGTCAAAGCCAAAAACGTTATTTTTTCTGCTGAGCGAACTAAAAGCTATTAGTTTGCTTTGTTAGATATACGAACCTTGGGCAATCCTGTCTATGCTCTTGCAGTATGTGACGCTTGTGCTCCAACAAGTCGCTCTGAACTTGGTTGCAAAATCGGCACTTTCGGCTAACTTGGCTGGCCGGATCGACGGCCTTGGCTTTTTTCACCGTCTCTTTGTGACTGATGGTTCGTCGGTGCACAATACCAGCTTCCCTCGAATCGAACGACATCCAACAAAAAGAGCAGAAATAAGGCCCTGCTTGAATCGAATCGGTCCCTTTGTCGTCGCTTTTCAACACGTCGGACTTGTGATTGAAAAGCTGATGTCTTTGCAGGGCGATCCGCGAGTGCCCGACGAATTGACATATCCGGCAGATGAGACGATTTTGATATTCATCCATCGACGAGAGCGAGCCCTCGTGGCTAGCTCGTTCGGCGTGTTCGCGCATCTCGATATTGTACCTGCACAGTCAAGTTCTTGTAATTAATGCAAATTTTATCGCAGATCGCGCCGCGAGTTAGTTAGTTTGCGCGTTTATTTATTTGCTACCGTAATACATGCACGCGCGCATACACACATGTGTATACGTATATGCACATAGAGATAGGGTCGATTCTCAAAATAGTCGCAAAGGCCGATAAGAGTTGAGGCTTAATTAATAATTATGTTCGGACGCGATTGGCTACGCCACGTTTACAGAGAAAGAGAAGAGACGCGCTACAAGTGCATAAGCTGTAAATCAGTGTATACGTGAGCGCGTAAAAATCTTCAAAGTACGGATACACATAAAACATTATACCTGCATCGGTATGAACAGGTTCTGCACTTGAGGGCTTGCAGGCAATGAATGACTATCGGTACCGAGCCATTTATCATTGAAACAACATCACGATGGCTCTGTTCGTTCAGGTGGAGCTCCATGGCTTCGTTATTATCGCAAATGAAGCAACATTGTGAGCACGAGAAATTACCCTCGATCTGTAAAGTAGATATATCCGTATAAGTATGTAAATTTTGATTTGGATTGATTTTAAATAATGGTTTTCAAACTTGTCATTGACTGAAAAAAAAAAAAATAAAAATAATAGTAAATAAAACAAGTAAATAGCGTCGACACTTGACATTTACCACAGTACTCGAAACTATCAAGTCATCTACTACAAAATTCAATCTAAATTTTAGCCTCACCCACACCCATGCAATCGTAAAAAAAGCAAGTGTACGAAACCTTTGAGATGATATCTTTATGTTCCTTAGATTGCCAATGCCTCAAAAAAGTAGCCTCGCTGTTGCAATAGAAGCGACAAGGGGCGCACTGAAAGGGACATTGGTGTACGATACTTCTCATGTTTTCTAGCACGATTCTGTGATGATTCTTAATGGTCACTGCACTGTCCTCGTTCTCTTTTGTTCTGGCAAGACCCGCTGCTACACGGCAGTGATAATGTGAGACGAGGTGCTTGCCGATTTGAATACGAAGCACGCGTTTCTTGCACACCTCGCATATTATCACTTTTTTTTCCCGTTCCCGCTGACTCTTTTGCACGTCATTTTTAGTCGCTAAATATTCATTTTGCTGCTTTTTTATGTCCAAGCATTTGTCTTTTTCAGTTTCTTCGCTGATTTTGATCTGCAAATAAAGATAACTTTAGTAACACCGAACAGAAAATGAGTCTTAATGAAAGTTTTGTGATTAAAACATAAAATTGTCATTACCGCGGTCAAACTTTTTTGGCGCGTTGTCAATTTCTGTGGTCGATCTTTGATAGGATTTGAGATCGATGGGAAAACTTCATCTATTCCCTGATTTGTTCTTCGAGCGTGAAGATCTGATGCTAAATGACGTTCAAAAAGTAGCTGAGATGCCAGTTTCCGACCACAAGGATGACACCAGAAACCAATACCACGATCTTGATCATCAGCTTTGGATTCTAAATCCAATTTATCGTATGTATCGTTTGCTAATTGTTTTGTTTGTTTCCCTTCGTGATCCTTCAAATCTTGCTCAGCGTTTTTCTGTTGAAATATCCATTTTTCATATGAAAAAAATATAGATAAAAAATTAAATAAATAAATGAATAATAGGATGGTTACCTGCAATGAAATTGATGATTCTGATGGTTTCCATTTATCACCAAGATCTGGAAGTTTCCATTTTCCGCCAGATTGAACTGGTGTTTCTGAAGGTTTCCATTTTCCACCAGATTGAGCTGGTGTTTCTGAAGGTTTCCATTTTCCACCAGATTGAGCTGGTGTTTCTGAAGGTTTCCATTTTACAGCTGATTGAAGCGATGTTTCGGACGGTTTCCATTTACCACCAGTATGGACTGATGTTTCCAAAGGTTTCCATTTGCCTCCTGTGTAGTTCGATGGAGGATGTCTTGAGTCACTATCAATATCTTCTGATTCTATCTCATCGTATTGCATTGGTTCTTCCACTTGAGTTACCAATTCGGGTTTCCACTTGCCTCCTGTGAAGCCTCGAGGTGGATAGGTAGAAGAATCATCGGAATCAGAGTCTGATTCGTCATCGACCAGTTCATCGATGAGGCTATCATCTTCAGACTCCAGATCTTGTTGGTAATTATATTCGGTCCATTCATTATGATGTGGATAACCTTTATCCGCTAATTCGGTCAGTGTTGTGTCACGATTCGGCCACATTGCCTCGCGTTCTTGTGGCTCATCCTCTCGAGCTTTTACATTTTTGTCAATTTTCAAGGCATTATTTTCTTTATTAATCGAAGAGTCAGAGGTTGTTATGATCCGAACTTTATTGGAAGCAGTAGAAGGGCTTGGCACGATATCAGAAAAGCCAACGAGAGAAGGTAAACCGAGATCTTCGAGCTCGGAGTCAACTGGCAAGAGGTTGTGTATCTTTACTTTGTTATAGTCCTTATCCTCGGAACTGCTGGTTTTTCGTTTGCGGTGACGACTGGATCGTCTGGGTCCATCTGATCGAGGTGCACTCTGTTTGGCACTGCTCTGCAATTCTAACGAGTTGAAAAAGGCATCGGCGTTGAGGATCTCCGGATAGGAAACGCTGGGGGTTGTCGGTTCGCAACTGTAATCCGGAGGCTTATTTTCTGTCCTGCTACGGCATAGAGCCTCCTGGCGATGCCTAACGTAATTACTGAGGCCGTTGATGGTCGTGTGGCATTTGTTGCAGAAATGAGTGTCGTCATCGTCGTCAAAGTTTTGCATCTTCGAATCAAATACGTAACGGAATATTAATAATCGTTATAATCTTAGCGGCTCACGAGAAGCAGGAGAGGCTTTTTGCCACTAATTGAGTTTTAGTGTACTTTTCACTTTATCATATTGAGCGAAATGAAAAAAGCCAAGCGAGCTGATGGCGCGACGATTCATACAAATATATACATTTATTTATATACAAGCTGGTATATCATTATCTCAAGTTGGTCATTTAAAGTACTCGAGAAAACATAAGTACAATTTGGTTAGGTCATTTGGCGGAAACGATGCTATATTAATTGTCCATGCAGGCAGGTAGTCAGGTAAGGGCTGGAAGGATGTTATCGCTGAATTATGAGACTCCTCGCGATGCAAGCTAACTTTTTAACACGCTTACACAGCGCAGGATAAAAAAAAGTACCGACTGATATCTCGAAAGCAGCAGCGCGTGTCATCGGTGCAGTTTGGACTAACGTATATATCATCTATTTAAGTATATATAAAGACAGGGTAATAGCTGCAAGCAAACAATAAAACGAAACGGAATGGTTTGTGCTCGGTCGTTGGCGCGTATTCGACGTGTGCGTGTAAGTGCGCGTGCATCCCAGGTATTTCCCTTTCAGCGTGCAGCCACATGCACGCACGCTGCAACACGACTTTATATATATTTACAGCTAATTGCGAACAAAACTGTCTTTCGTGCAGGCAGCAACTTGCCGCGAATACGTAAAAATAAATTTGTCGACGTCAGCGAGATAAGAGGGCTCTCGCTCGGAACGACGATGGACGTCCCTTCTTCGACACTGCGACTGTATGTACGTACGCAAACACGCGAATTCAATTAGAGCCTAACTTACCGTACGTATGTACATGTGTGTATGCGTGTGTGTGTGTATACGTGTGCGTGTGCTGCATTCACTCGCCTTCGCTCGTATACCCTTGATATTTTGCGCGAAATCGAGCGAAAATCCAATGAAAGAATGAGAGAGGCAGCAATAAAACGATTGAGACACCAATCGCTTGGCTGACCAAAGTACCTCAACAAATAAATAATTAATTAATCGTGTCGATTTTTAATTATTCCGATTTTTGCGTTTAAGTTCCTCTTAAAACGGTAGCAATAAAGCTCTCTTGTATGAGGATATACATATACTAATGATGCACCGTGTTTTACATATAACATACTTACTTGTTATGCGTTTTTCATTTTAACCAACGTTCCATACGTTTATTATGAAGAAAGTAACTCTTGAATCGAGAAAGTTTTTGCAGCACATACATTATTAACTCCTTTTCAAGAAATTGTCATTATAACAAAGAGATGTGAAAAGTGATCAATGTAAGTACTTTAAAAAAGTATATGGTTGATTCTCCCGAAATCTGCTTTTTCGGGTATGGAAAACGAAAAAATGGTGAAAATTTTTTTGTCATATTGAACGGCGCGAACTAGTTTACCCTTTTTTAAACCATAAAATCTATATATATAAAGCGAAGTTGGTGTCTGTTTGTCCTTTATGATCTCAAAAACTATTTGTCCAATCGGCTTGAAATTTTTACCACGTATTCATTATACCACTGTGCAGGTTTCTATCATATTAAAACCATTATTTGCTTATTAATTTTTGAGTTCAGAATTTTTTTCGTATTTTACCACTTCATGCGCTCGCTCGCCCCTTGCCCGGTTAATTTTTGAGTTCAGAATTTTTTTCGTATTTTACCACTTCATGCGCTCGCTCGCCCCTTGCCTGGTTAATGGTTATAAAAAAGACCGAAAGCAGATTTTTTTTTTACACGCGGTGAATCGGAATACATTGTATTTGATGTGTACATGTGTTATTACGCTATTCGAGTTCTACAAGTGTGTGGACTCAACTTATACATTTCCTACTACGCACTTGACGTGGCCTGTTTAAGATCTTTTAAACAGTCGAATTTGTTAAAAAAATTGAACGTGGGCGAAGCCACGACGGGGTCGCTAGTATGAATAATTATTGAATCTGGGGCTTTGAGATTTCGTTTTACGAAAACTATGTCCGATTTTATGCTTAAAATCGACTATTTTCGGTTACGGAGGTGACACACACGGAGGTGACAAATCGCTGCTTTGATCAACTATGTAAGAAAAATAAGAAACGCAAAAAATTTTCCGCACAACCCGAAATTTGGTCATGAAAAACGAGTCTTTTGACGGGGCGAGCGGTTAAAAAGAATGATCATAGCTCGAGATATTCATGTCCACGGAGGTGACCGTTTTTTTGACACACGTGAATTTTTCAATAGAATAATTATCGCAGCATCGATAAAATGTAAAATTTGAACCCGCAACCTACACCAATCGAAAGCTGGGCTATAATACTTGACATTTACGTATCTAGCGACATCAAAAATGAGTTAGCGACCCAAAGCAGGCGGTATGTTTGAAATTATTCAGAAGCATGATTAAAATCCGAGACATTTTTCAATTGCGTGGGAAATTTTTTTAAAACATTTTTCAAAGCCCTATAATAGATTTAAACTTTACTCTGGATGTATAGAAGCTGGTCTCATAGTTATTATAGGGTCAGGTGCTAATGAGAATGCATGGTACATGCAAATAGAGTTGATTTTGAGATGTAGACATGCCACGGAGGTGACATTTGGCATGTATATCTTCACGGCAAATTTAACTGACCCTAAAAAATTGAAATATTTATGTCCTATCATGAAGAATACAACAATGTTGAATGAATGACCGAGCCAGTTTTGGCTCATCTTCACTAGTTTAAGAATATGGCATAAAGACATGCAAAAAGCAGATTTCAGGAGAATCAACCATATATGTGACCAACCAAAGCTCATTGGTATATCCAGTCCAGTAAACAGATAAAAATACTCGATTTCTTTTCGATTTTTTGAACTAACCACAAGAATCCTACGTATATCAATAATAACATGACAATTTCAGGCGCTCATAGCAAACCAACGTGTAAAGTGAAATAACATTGTAAAGTTATTAAGCCATATAAAGCTGCATTTAGTTTGGCAAAATTCTAATATTTTTGCATTAATATTTAGTTGATACGTACAATTTAAAGACTTTGAAAAAGTACTTTTGAAAAAATGGAGCTTTACGTCAAGAACAAACGAATCGAATATGTTTATCAATTGGGCTTAAAAAAGCAACGCAGAGAGTTAGGAGAAAACGAAAAGGAAATATAAAGCGAAAAAAGAAGTTGAGCGTACGTGAGAAAAATATCAGCATAACAACACGTAGGTGTAGGCGTGCAAGGATAGGTGTATTTGTACAGATGGTTACATAAAGAGGAAAGCAGTTAGAGCGCAAAGCAAAACTGCACAACACTGGAGGCGTCGGCCTCGTATTTTAACAATAATCTCGGCGATTGCTTGAACAGGCCCGGCCGTAATATTCAAACATAGAGAGAAGCGCTGCGCCAGTGAGAAAGGGAGTTTGCAGGTGAGCGCGAGCTAGCGAGCAGTGATCCCCCTTATCTCGCGAAATTAAAGTCAGTGAGAGCGAGAGAGAACGAGTCTCTATCTCGCTCGTCTCGTTCGCTTTTAAGTGCTTGCTCGCCAAAGTGACTCGCAACTTTCCTACTCCTCCTCTCTTTCTCCTCTCTCTCTCTATGTATATACTCTTGCTCGTCACGTCGCTTTCTGTTATGTGCGCATATATATTTACATACACAGACGTGCAAGCACGGAGCTTGTGCGTATATACATGGTCTGGTCGAACGAAAGCTTTGGCGCGATTCACGTGGGTACCATGAGGACAAAAGCTCGCTAGGACAATCGTATTACGTCGTGGCTTTATGTATACCAGTACGAAAGTACATGTACGTATACGTAGAGTTAGCAAGCGAGAGAGAGAGAGAGAGAGATCGGCAGGCAAATTGAACTGAATATTCGTAGGAAGCATTTAGTTGACGCTTCGCGCGGGAGCTCGCTTTCGTGTGTTAGCACGAGGGTGTGCACAAGTGTACGTGGGTATAAGGTCGCGAGCGAGCTAACGCTACACCGTTTCACTATATACAGCGCTATAGCAGCTAGACTGCGGAACGCGCGCAAAGGGAGAAGAGATCGGTCGATGCCGCTCGGCCGTTATTCGGACGACGACACTTTGCTTCTCCTACGTTCTCTCGGCGCGAGGCAACACAGCAACCCCCCTCTCGCCTGGCTGCCTGCATCTTTCTCCCCGCGACTACCCTCGGCTGCCTCGAGCTCACCCCCCCGCTCGAGCCAACTCTACTGCGCGTCTTTTCTCTAGTTTCTCTCTAGCTACCGATTGTGCGATACCTACGGCTAGTCGACTTTTCCTCCCCTGCGAGTCTGCTGCTGCTACTGCCTCTGATGCCACCTCGCACACTCGCTCACAAACCGATACATCTCTCTCCCTCTCTCCACCCTCCCTCCTTCTCTCTCTATTTCTCTCTTTCACTGCCTTTGCTTTTCAAGTTCGAGATTTTTCCAAGTCAGACCTTTCGTTAAGGTTTTTCATGTTTATCAACTTGTATTTTGTACAAATACCTGACTAATGCTGCATATGTTATTGAAATTTAATGGAAAAAATTGGAGATCCCTAGTGATTATTTAAAAGAAGACTAGCTTAGTCCAAACTTAAAACGAAATTCGTTAAAATTTATCTTTAATTTGTATTATTTAAAAAAATTTTTTTTTCTTAATTGGTGAAAAAAAACTCACAATGAATTTTTTTAGTTCTGGTTTGTTTTGGGTTCAAAATTGCGCTTCTTCTTTAATAATAACCAATGTTTTGACACATTGTAAGTTTTGTAGGAAAATACATATATACATGCGTTCCTATTGCTACAGTTTTGAGAACGAAACAGAACCAAACTAAGAATACATCTTAACAATCAAATTTTTTTTAAAGACGTAACTTTTCAAACTTACGGTGAATCTTTACACGTTTTATCTTATATGAAATGTTAAAGGCTCTTCCTTAAAAAAGTATTACTTTTATTAAAAAAAAACCGGTTTATTTTAGAACAAAT